CAGCACGAGCGCAGCAAATATGACAAGTTGATCATTTCGCCACAGCTTTTTTGTAACAGCGCGCGCGGCGCCGGCCTCATCTGAGGATGAACGACTTCAAACCAAACCGAATATGTCCAAGCTTGCTCTGACCGTCACAACTCTGTCGTCATTATGTTAAGCCCACCCGCCGACTCTATACACGATGTGATTGGCCTGGCCAGAGTTGAGTTTTTCCAGCTAAAATGTCTATGGAGAGTTGCTAGACCACACTTTGCTGCAAAATAATTTTTGCTGCCGCTAGGGTGCGTCTAGATTTCTAGGCTAGACTTTAATCCTAACTCTTTGGACCCTATTTTAAAGATCTAAGCGCACTTAGGGCATGTCCGAGTCAACTTTTGCTAGTTTGTTGACGGGAAAAATGGTCGTCTGTCCAGCGAATGGTTGATTTTAAAAGGGTTGTCCCTATTCTCTAAACGAATAATGGATGTGTTTTTGGCTCAGTGTACAATAAAATAATCAGCATCTCATCTTCCATTCTCTCACGACATGTCGCTTTCGCTATTTACATGGTGGAATTGGGAAGTGTTTCCAGAACGGATCGCAACCAGCACGCAACCATACCATCTACGGGACAAATGTACATACATGTACATTTTTAATATTTGGCTAGTTTGTGTGCTGTTGGGCGTCCCTCTGTGTGTAATAAGCAGAGTGTATACACGTTGTGCAACCGGCCATAGGTGCATAATGCTAACGCACTCAGTTGGTCAATGGCTATTTCAGCTGCCTCAAAATAGCACTGTGCCAATAATGCTCCTGAACACACATCGTTTTCAGACCAGCAGCCCATGGGTGCACAGATAGGTGCAAAAGCATTTGCTATTTAAGCAATGTGGCGCAGGACGTGAAAATGATAACTGCGTTGGGCTGAAACTAGCAAAAGACACTTGCTTTGCGCCGCATTGCGCATGATAAGGGCCCCTTAAGTTATTAGCATAAACACAAGGGCAAATTTGGACACTTGTTGGTGCAAGAGGGGTTTAGTTAGAGACGAATTTGCTGTGTTTAATGTTGAGACTGTCCTCTATCTACCATACGGTTCAATGGGCTGCCATAGACTCAACAGCAGAAGACAAAGAAGAATGCTAGAAGGTACAGTAGGTACCTATTTGCACTTTATTTGCCTGGCCTATTATTAGGATTTCTGCAATGTGTGGGTTTCGTTATGAGTACTAAAAAAACAAACATTTTTCTTCCCATTAGCACAGTTATTAAAATATGTGATCTGCAACCAGAAACCAGTGCAGATCAACAGCGGTGTGACATTGGCTCTATTAGGTCCGTTGAAGACCAGCCGCTGAAGTCTGAATCATTTGAAGAGGTTTGTTAAGTCCAGCCAGAAGAGCATTGCAATAGTCCAGGCCAGAAATAACAAGGGCCTGGTCGAGGTTGTACATTGCAAACCTGCACGATCGTGCTGTAGTAGCAACGTAGTCTTTAAAGGTCAGCTGGTCATGAATAATTATTCCAAGATTCCTGGCCAGACTCTATGGGATTATTGTTACTGAACCTAGCTGGTTTTTGAAATTGTGCTGTAATGATGAAGTCGCTGGGAAGACTTTGCTAGGCTGAGCTGCAGGTGATGTTCTTCATCCGTGCCGGGCAGTCTTAGATCTGTGCAACTACTGTGGGATCATCTAGTTGAAATAAAAACTGTCATCAGCATTGCAACAATAGGAGAAATCATGTGCCTGTATAACGGGTCCCAGAAGAAAAGGGGTCCAAGGACTGATCCCTGAGGTGTTGTTTCTCCCCAAGTTGAGTTTCAGTGATGCCCAGTCATGAGAAGGTGGACAGAAGGATCTGATTATTAACAGTGTCAAAAGCTGCAGATAGATACACTCACCGGCCACTTTATTAGGTACCCCATGCTAGTAACGGGTTGGACCCCCTTTTGCCTTCAGAACTGCCTCAATTCTTTGTGGCATAGATTCAACAAGGTGCTGGAAGCATTCCTCAGGGAGTTTGGTCCATATTGACATGATGGCATCACACAGTTGCCGCAGATTTGTCGGCTGCACATCCATGATGCGAATCTCCCGTTCCACCACATCCCAAAGATGCTCTATTGGATTGAGATCTGGTGACTGTGGAGGCCATTTGAGTACAGCGAACTCATTGTCATGTTCAAGAAACCAGTCTGAGATGATTCCAGCTTTATGACATGGCGCATTATCCTGCTGAAAGTAGCCATCAGAAGTTGGGTACATTGTGATCATAAAGGGATGGACATGGTCAGCAACAATACTCAGGTAGGCTGTGGCGTTGCAACGATGCTCAATTGGTATCAAGGGGCCCAAAGAGTGCCAAGAAAATATTCCCCACACCATGACACCACCACCACCAGCCTGAACCGTTGATACAAGGCAGGATGGATCCATGCTTTCATGTTGTAGACGCCAAATTCTGACTCTACCATCCGAATGTCGCAGCAGAAATCGAGACTCATCAGACCAGGCAACGTTTTTCCAATCTTCTATTGTCCAATTTCGATGAGCTTGTGCAAATTGTAGCCTCAGTTTCCTGTTCTTAGCTGAAAGGAGTGGCACCCGGTGTGGTCTTCTGCTGCTGTAGCCCATCTGCCTCAAAGTTCGACGTACTGTGCGTTCAGAGATGCTCTTCTGCCCACCTTGGTTGTAACGGGTGGTTATTTGAGTCACTGTTGCCCTTCTATCAGCTTGAACCAGTCTGGCCACTCTCCTCTGACCTCTGGCATCAACAAGGCATTTCCGCCCACAGAACTGCCGCTCACTGGATGTTTTTTCTTTTTCGGACCATTCTCTGTAAACCCTAGAGATGGTTGTGCGTGAAAATCCCAGTAGATTAGCAGTTTCTGAAATACTCAGACCAGCCCTTCTGGCACCAACAATCATGCCACGTTCAAAGTCACTCAAATCACCTTTCTTCCCCATACTGATGCTCGGTTTGAACTGCAGGAGATTGTCTTGACCATGTCTACATGCCTAAATGCACTGAGTTGCCGCCATGTGATTGGCTGCTTAGAAATTAAGTGTTAACGAGCAGTTGGACAGGTGTACCTAATAAAGTGGCCGGTGAGTGTATAGCAGAATGAACACTGCATGACTTGGAATCGGCTCTTGCAATCCATAGAGTTTCAGTAACCGGCAGCAAGGCAGTCTCATTTAAGCGGCCACTTAAAATCCTGATTGGTTATCGTCCAGCTTGTTGGTCTGTGAAAGGAAATATGATACCTAGTTGAACATTATACATTCAAGTGTTTTCACTATGAATGCGGGAGAGAGATGCCATAAAATGTGGCTTAAAGTTTAGGTGGAAGAGACTGATGGACCTGAGCGAGCCACTCTCAATGTTTTGAAGGTGCCTGAGGCCCCGTCCACACTACTGCGTTTTCGTTTAAAAACGGAGACCTTTTGCTACGTTTGCACCTCCCGTCCACAATAAAACGGGAAAAACGGAGACCTAAAACGGAGAAGTTTAGAAACGCTGCAGCTGCGTTTTGCGTTTTGAAACTCCAGAGGGTGTTTTAAGGCCAATTTATACTTCTGCGTAGGGTGCGCGCAGTAGGTACGGCGTAGCATACGCACAGACGCGTCCCATACCGCGTACCCTTCGCCGTCGCCTGACGCGCACCTCCTCAAAAATGTAACTACACGTCGCGACGACGCGGACCGCAAGATCGGTGATTGGTTGGCTTGGTAGCATCGCATTTCCTCCTACGCATTTCCGCACGTACCTTCTCACGCATTTCCACCACTGTCTATGATTTCCACACGTTTCATCTCCTCCGAAGTCTTCTCTCATTTCTGCCTTTCAGTTTTAGTAATTTCACTAAAGTGAACTGTTTTTCCACCTTAATAAGCTCCAATTCCAACATGATCAGCTCTCTTTCACTCGTAGTAACCTAGCCGCGAGGAATCTAAACACAGTGGAACATTAAAACTCTCCGCCGCCAACTAGCGTTTCGGAGCAGTACTGCAGAGCAACCAAGACCTGAACGCAGAAGTATAAATGCTCACAACGGCGTCGCCTACGTGCGTAGCCAACGCCGTACACTACGGCGTACCCTCGACGCAGAAGTATAAATTGGCCTTTAGTGTGGACGAGACAAAACGGAGGAGTTTACAAACGATGACGCAGAGGCTCACGCTCGGCTCTATGATTGGGTGTCATCAGTCATGACGTATCCTTCCCTGATTCGCCAACCACTGTTTACACCGGCGCGCGCATGCCCAGTGTTGGTGAATGTTCACGTGATCCGCGTTTTCAGTCGTTTTAATGTGGACGGAGATCAATTATTTATAATACGCAGATAAAACGCTGGTGTGGACGGAGATCGTATTCGTTTTAATTCTCCGTTTTTAAACGAAAACGCAGTAGTGTGGACAGGGGGGGGGGGGGGGGCGGATAAACCCATGAATGGCACACAAATATAGTCAATAAACAATAACTTGGGTTAAGAGAATCTATTTTACCAAAACATACTTAGCCTTTAACATCCTCAAAATAAGTTTGCACGTCCTTCCAAAAATCTTTAAATCTTTCCAAGTCATGCTTGACATAAAAACAAAAAAATAGATTGATGTTTGACAATATCTGATGTTGTCCCACTGCCACAGTGCTTCTCACTGCTGTACTTTTTTAAAATTACCTCATTTAATTTTAAATTAATAATAATAAAATGACAAGCATGTCAACTATTAATGAGATGAAAGTGCTTGTGCAGTCAGTTGAAGGTCACACAAACTGAAAATACAAGGTAATAGTGCCCCCATGTGGTGGAGATATAAAACATAGTCCAGGATCAATATTAAGAATTAAAGTTTTATTTCACTAAGTGAATGCACATGTAAATATTATTCATCCGTTGAATTACTAAAAATATGTTAAATATATACTTCAGCCTTCAATTACCAATGCAGAATAAGAACTGTAATATTTAACATAAATAATTGTTATAGGCCATTTTTTGGTCTGTATTTGTAAAACTGTACACATACAATTCAAAGGTCTGGGTTTGGTAAGATTTTAATGTTTTTTAACTCTCTTATGTTCGCCAAGGCAGTAAGACATTATTACAATTGCATTGTAAAACATTATTACAATTTAAATAACCGTTTTCTATTATAATATCTTTTAAAATGGAATTTATTAATGATAGAAAGTAGAATTTGGTCACATGATCCTTGATTACCAAACATTCTAAACAGTTTGTCTGATTATTATTTTAGTTGAAATTGAAAATGTAATAGTTACTGTCCCATTCTTTTGAATGGTAGTGTATTTTATCCTTTAAAAAAATGAGAAACAGAATCACAATCTGTACGTAAATTAACCTCAAAGAAACTATTTTGATCTAAACGTATTTAAAAATCACTATAACTGTACAATACATTCTTCTGGTTACGTAAATAAAGGTATATAAATACACATCTAATAATTACAGTCTTCACTAAGGCCTGAATGAGTGTCTAGACTCAATGTGCCTTTACAGTCACATACGTAAAACTGTTTGGATTCTGAGCATTCCTCCCTTTGAGCCAGTAACGCTGTAAGGCCAACAGGCAGTGACTCATTCACTGTTCAAACTTAATGTAAAACTGGTTAATCCGGCTACGCTGCTACCTGATACATACATGCATCGCCCAGTCTCTATGTAATGATTCCTCGATACTTTCAGCTTCATGGTGCCAGCATGAGTGCAAGTAAAGTGACACTAAACTACCATGATTTTGATGGCATACAGTAAACGCACAGAAACAAATAAAGATATGCCTACATAGACTGAATAGAAGAAAATAAAAAAATACTATCAGAAGGCTCAGAGTATACATATGATTTAAAGCTTAATTGTGTTGTTGTTGTTTGTGCAAAATACAGAAAAGATAGTACCGCCACATACTCATGCTATTGATCTGTCTGTTTAAACCGACAGAACAGTTTCCAGGGAAATCAACCAATGAATGGCTTACCTCCAGTTATCTCTGCATATTAATCTGGGATGGGGAAAAGTATTTAATCATGAAAACACTCAATGATGAGAAAATTGAGCATATGAACTGTGTTCATCGAGAATGCATTTAGGCAGTTTGTTCATTTTATACCACGATGGCATCTCAGGCTTGCTTGTCGAAACCCAGTTCTTGACTCATCTGTGGTTATTTTAAGCTGGCAAGTGTGGAAGTAGTAGTGTCTTTTAGTAGCGGCTTGCGTCATCGTAAGTGCTGACATCAACATCAAAGAAGTCCTCGAGTTTCCACTGCAGAGTTTCAAAGGTAGGTCTGTCTGCAGGGAAGTCCTTCCAGCAATCACACATGGTTTCATACAGACATTTGGGGCAGTTCGGAGGGCTTGCCATCCTGTAGCCTTTGGGCAACTGTTGCACCACCTGAAAGTTTGTCATGGCTGGAGAAAGAGAGAAAAATCAACATCAATACTGCAATTTAACTAAAACTTTTTAGTATATTTTGGTACAAATTCATCTGTCACATGGTACAGGGCCAGGCTAGCCAAATTAAGTAGATGGACAGTATGATATGTCCTCATTCTCAAAAAGTACATGTACAAAATACTCTCAACATCCACACCATTTTGTGAGGCAGATGTGAAAAGCTCAGCAGTGGTGGCGGTGTCTCAATCTTCACCAGACAAGAGTAAAATAATAATGCTGGTACAAGGTGTTTGTAACTATTTTATTAACCCTCTGATGGTCCTCAGTCACTTCTGACCGAATAATTTTCTGTTTTGAATTATTCAATTATTTTTTGGCATTTGGTATGTGAATACAAAAAAAAAAAAAAAATCGAGGTCATGATCCGAGCAGGCTAAGTGGTCGTAAAAAAAATAGTCACACTCGTGGTCTTCGGTCAGAAATGACCGACCCATAGGAAATGAATGGTAAATTTACAAAAAAAAATAAAAATTCTCTGAATTTTTGTTTGTACAATCTACAAATCGGCCACGATTCTTACAAGAAGTATACCGCAGTAAAGGGGTGACACTCTACAATGTCAAGAGTGCAAAAAATGTATACCCACCGACACACACACACATACAAACACACTTTTATATACATACACACCAATAAATTCAGAATTTTTAAAAATCACAGCTTCATCTGAATGTTACGAAACTTGGTGACATTTCTGGCATTAGGTATGTGAACACACAAAAAAATTGAGTTCATGATCCGAGCATGCTAAGTGGTCGTAAAAAATTAGTCACGATTTTGGTCTTTGGTCAAAAATGACAAAAACACAAAAATTCACAATTTTTTATATATATTTTTTTTTTTTACAAATTTTTTAATAAGAAATAGTTTTTGAGATTGTTTCGATTATATATTCAAATCCACCAAAAAAAAAAATGTGTTCATAAACATCTGGGGAATTCAAATGCCTCTCCATAGAGAGCTGTACATGTCATCTAGTGGTTACACCATGATTCTACGCTTTTTCTCAAAGCTGTAACCAGATGGTGCTAATTTTCTTCAAAAAAAAATTTTTTTCTGAAGGCCTAGACTCTATATTAAACTAAAATACTGCATTAATATTTTTGTTAAAAAATAATATATATATAGAAAAATATATATTTCCATTGAAAAAATAGACCATACATATTGCATAAATATTAATGAATTCAATAAAATTGTCTCAAAATACTAAATTAAAAAGAATAAATTTTATAGAACAAAATTAAATTGCATTGGTTTTACTGGGATGGAAGAAGTTTCTTTTTTAGGCCTCTGGTCACTTCTGACCGGGAAGGCCCAGGACGTGACTCATAAAGGAAGACCATCAGAGGGTTAAATAACTACCGACCAGGGCTTGATATTAACACCCACCAACCCGCCAGATGTGAGTGGATTTCAGCGGTGGAGTGTAACACAGTCTCTCCAACTTGCCACTTTTGCGGGTTGAATTTTATATAGTATACGTTTGTTAATTGTAGTCTTTTAAAAAGGCATCTAAAATAATAAACTAAGTCCAATGAAGTGTTGTCAAAAATATAGATTTTTCCATACATATCGATACTGAAATATCTGAAACTCTTCAGAAGGATACACAATACCAGCTGCTCTTTCTCTCTCCCATCTCTCTGACAGAGAGTGAAACACAAACCTGCATCCCTTTACTCACTCGTTTCATTTGCTCCGGATGCATATTGTTGAATTTCAGCGAGGGATTGCGCGTATTGAGCAAAATTTTACTCGTTCCGACAGATTTTGTGCTCACCCAAAGAATGAAGACAAGTATATTGGCTATATAAAACAGTATAATGGGTCCGTCCGTCAGGTGTTAAAGTGACAGTAGCCTAATATACCGGCTGCCAAATTATGAGATGATATTAAAAATATCTATATGGCAGTTTCTCCAAATGGTATCGATGTCAAAATTGTGGCCAGTGAAAATACTGAGTGGCTAGTAACTTTGGAAAACCACAAGCCTCAAAAGTTTCAGGTGAACGGTTGCCAGATCACAAGAGAGTATCCCTTAATAAACAAATTTATCCCAGTCATTGTGCTTTGGGCGGGAGACAGTGTTCTTAAAATACTCCTTACAAACGCAATATAATAAGCAGACATGGCACAACTGACCCAGGAGAACCAATGTAAGAGAAAATAATATTACCATTATCCTACAGAAATGTTAAGCCAGGAAATGCAATTTTAATGTATTATACAATAATTAATAATTAAATATTTACATATTATTGCAAATTAATTGAATCAATTATTAGTTTATTTGGACTTTAACTTTAATTATACCTATGAGTTGTATCACGTATAAAATTGATAACTGTAGGGGTTCTGGGGACCTCAGGCCTTCTTATATTTTAAGAGGGGAAGACCAAAACGTTTGAAAAGCACAGTATTTGAAAAAAATAATAATAATAATAATATTTTTTTAGGAATACACCACAAATGATTTCAAGGGGCCTTTAAGTGACTTCATTTTCATGCTGTTAGTAGTTTCAATATGCCATTAATGATGTTCCTATTTAAACCAAGAGCAAATAGTCTTGTTGACAGAGGCAATTCACACAAACCCTGGATAACATTTGTCTGATTGAGCCAGACAAAATGACAAAAGAAAACTTTCTAGGTAGGAGCAGTGGTGTGGAGAGACAGGATGCCCTCACGTTGCCACATTGACTGTAAAACACCTTTACTGATCAGCAGGTTTAACATGGTCAGGGGTCGGTGTAGAGGAGGGCTTTAGGGACAGGGACAAGTAATGTCCCAATACCACAAATCAAAGGAGTCAAATAAAGATATCTAATTTCAGAGATGATATCTGATATCTCATATCTGTCAGAGGTAGTTTTTTTCTACAATATTGCATTATTCCAACAAAATTTGCCTCAGCATTTTCAACATCCCCAAAAAGTGCAATAATATATATTAAAATACGTACTTGGGTAAGGCATACTTCCAAAAGTCACAATTTCATACAGTAGGATCCCAAAAGACCAGACGTCAGATTTGATGGTAAATTTGTTATCGTGGATGGCCTCGGGTGCAGTCCATTTCACTGGAAACTTGGTTCCTTCTTTGGCCTCATAAACGTTCTCATCACTGTCCTCATTGTCCATCTAAAGGGAACATGCAGTGGGGGAAATTCAGTTTTCTTAAAATCAGGGCATACACTATTGCAGTGGTTCTCAAATTATTTGCATCAGAACCCAAATTTCATATTGGATATCAATTGGTGTTTTTTTTTATTGTACAAAAGTAAACAAGAATGTCCTCAAAAGAATTGGATAGAGCTAACAGCATGCAAATTTATTGAAATGACATAAGCTGAATAAGGAAATTAACCATTTTGTAAATGGATTGGATTAGCACCAGAGTATGTGAGCGGAGTGGAGTGGGAGCGGAGCGAGGAGTGGAGCGGCATGATTTTGAATGGAGCGCGGAGCGGATTTTTTAAAAGTCGGAGCGTCGTGGTTTTCACTCGCTCCGAGCGCGCTCCACTACCGCTCTATCACGAGGACAATTCATGCCAACGGCTCATTATAGAACTGCATTTTTAGTAAGGATTCACGTGTTAAACACATTACGCTAGCATGATACAGATGGATCACTCAAATCAGAAAAAAATGTGAGGGTTATGATGACGCCGATGGACATGAGTGGCTGCGGGAGGTTATAGTTATCAAGCCTGAGTGGGCACCACGATCTCGTGAAAGTGCGAATCTATAGCACACATTTTATTTCTCGTGCCTATTATTATATGCCAAACAAATGACGCACACTAAACCCCTTGGTTAGGATGGGTGTGAAGTGCGTTCTTGCCATTAAGTGCGTATCGTCGGCTATGCCCACGAGAAATAAAATATAGATAGCCTACGCACTTTCATGAGATGGGGCGCTGGATCGGGCGGGGTGAAAGCACATTTTAAACAGGTAACACTTATTCACCAACGCAATCGCTTTCTCACTAATGCATTGCATTCAAACAAATGTAATCATACAGTCGGCTATCTGTCAGTATTTGATTTTAAATGAGCATGAATCTGTGAGAAATGTAGCGACCCGTAGATAAATAACTGATGAAAACGTAGTTATTTTCTTCTTTCCGAACAAAATGTGCTCTGCAAAAAGCAGCAATGATATTTAATTTATAATGCTGATAACCTGTAGTAAGCATAGCATGTCATAGGAAAAGTTTGCACACTATCCAAATCCAATAAACAACATTGCAACTATTCTCCTAACGTTGTTTTTTTTTATTTATTTACTATGCCTATGTATCTATTATGATGAGGAGACATTTTGTGAGATTTTAAAGCATACTTAAATACTTTATTCGGAATTTCCTTGGGGAGCGAACACGGAGCGGTGTTTCTGATATCAGTGAGCGAGGAGTGGAGCGGGAGCGGTAAATGGTGAACCCGGAGCGGAGCTGGAGCGGAGTGATTATATAATGCTTGGAGCGTGGAGGGGAAATTGTTGCCGCTCCACTCCGCTCACATACTCTGATTAGCACTCAGACAAATATTGAAAATACAACCTTTGATGTCACAGCAAAAGTTATGGAAAGCATTTAATCCTCCCTTTTAAAAGTTGCTAAGGTTATTCATATTCATATGTATTAGTTGCTTGTTATTCTTTGCATGTACCCTACATTTCCTTTTCCTTTATCAGTATTGTTCGTGACGTGTGAGCCATTTTTGGGTTGCGACCCCCCGTTTGAGAACCACTGCCCAACAGGCAAGCTACCCAGCCAGCACAGCCATGTGGGGCCTACATGGGTTTGACCTGGGCAATCTAACTGGGACCCAGATAGTTTTGTGACTTTATTTCTGTCAGACGTCTACAGAAGTTCTTATTGAGAATTAACAGAGGTTAAGGTGTTGATGATTTATTGAAAATAATAGTTTGGTTTAATGCCACCATTATGGTGATCAGTGTGTGTTTTATCTAATGATAGCAAAAGAAGCTGCAATCAGATGCTGTAAACTGATTGATGATAAGAAGGAAATCATTGTGTGTGAGTTTTATTATTCATATTATTTGTTATTCATATAGTTTTATTATTGTGATTCTACAGCACAAAATCCAGCACATTTTTATCAGAACATCAAGTGATTGTTAAAACACCATTTACTCATTTTGGACATATATTATTTTTACTCACAAACAGACATCTAGAGACAGCATATGAATCTCAACAATGGTGACAGCTTCATGGTGCAATACATTCTGGGTGCATCATATGAAACTTATCCATGGCTCCCAGAATGCATTGCAGCATGACGCATGTCACCATTATTGTAGCGATCCATATGCTGATTCTTGATGTATGTGTGTGAGTAAAAATCACAGAACTCCAAAATGTCTAAATGTTGTTTTAAAAAATATTTGATGTTCTGATAAAAAAAACATTTTCTGCATGTTCTGATGCTGGATGTCTTGCTGTAGAATCACAATAAAACAAAATAACATATCACCCATGTAAAACTCACACACAATATTAGTGAGTTTTGCCACTATATTATGATTATATACCAGCTATTAACCAGCTTACAGCATCTGATTGCTTTTTCTCTTGCTGGTCTCCACAAAACAGTCAGATACAGCTGCCAGAAAAAAACTAACGTTAAAAAGTCAAGAGCCCAAATAAAGCAAATACTGATCACCATAATGGTGGCCAAACCAAACTATTAGTTTCAATAAATCATCAACATCTTAACTTCTGTTAATTCTCAATAAGAACTTCTGTAGACGTCTGACAGAAATAAAGTCAACCTGGTTAGTAATAAGTGAAGCTGGTAATGCTGTTTGTGGAGTTGATTCATCAGATCTTGAGAGATTTTGTGTCTTTTATCTTCAGTTGATTTCATCTAAGGCTGTGGCTGGAAGTAGTTCTCGTGTTTCTCTTTCCTTCAGTGATTCTGCTTGTTAACAGCAGGTATTCATCAATATTGCTCAATCATTATTCAACAAATTTTCTAATTAACTCCAACACTGATATGTGTTACATTTAACAGCCTGTAGTGTGCACACTGAGCCGTGTTCATTTTATCTGGGCAAACCCATGTGGGGCCTACATGGAAACCGTGGACAAAACGGTCTGGGTCCCAGTTAGATAGCCCTGATCAAACCCATGTGGGCCCCACATGGCTTTGCTGGCTGGGTAAGGGGTCAAGCCTTCTTGTAAAAATTTCTCACCTGAAAAACTCGTGCCAGACCAAAGTCGGCGACCTTGCACACGTTGTTTTCTCCCACCAGAACGTTTCGTGCTGCAAGATCTCTGTGAATGTAGTTCTGCAACTCTAAGTATGCCATGCCAGCAGCCACTTGTGCTGCCATCTCTATCAGTTCAGACATTTGCAGAGCACCTCTGTTTTCTGCAGGAGAGAAAGAGAGAGAATGTACAGTTAACACACATCAAATGAAGAGGGCTGCAGACCCTCCATCAACATGATTGTCTGAATGACTGTGATGTGGGTCATCATAACGTCAGCAGCACTGTCAGAGAGAGCAGCGTTCTGCATGCTTCTTCGGTCAAGAACTTCAATGTATTAAAAATGAAATATTTGGCTGCACCAGGCTGCATAAGAACTGCACTTTCACTGGTCACCGGGACATAAAAACTGCTTGTATAGAAACAGCAGTAAAATATGATACTTAACTGTAAACTCACATTATTTAACATTGTAAACACAACTAAATTCAATTTTTACACACCTTTGATTATATGCATTATTTAATGTTTCATGATCATCTGTCCAGGAACTTTAGAAGGATTTTTTCAAAAGCAGTAATTTTGTTTGTGCATTCGTAAGTCCTCCCTACGGTAGGCATACGGTGGCATGTCCCTCCCGGGATATGCTTCCCAGTGTACCTTGGTATTCCTGTGTTAAAGTAGGAACTCCTGGTTATAAGCTAAGTTCAGGAGTCCAGACTTTCACAGGGCACTGGAAGACAGCTGTGAAGATGGCGTGATGGCACGGACCCCCATTCTCCGTCATTCCGACGTAACTCGGAGTGACTACGAAAGGGAACGTCTCGGTTACGGATGTAACCCTCATTCCCTGAGTAGGGAACGGAGACGTTACGTCTCCTTGCCACTTCTGCTGTATCGCTGGGTAGACGCCTGAGTTCAGTCTCGGCTCCTCAGCGAAGACATACTGCGGTTGCGTTCACTTCCTCCTTTTATACCCACGAGGTGAGGAGGAGTTACGCTATGCAAATTCCGCAGCCCCAAGGCATTTTCATGCCATTGGCTCGTTGTTAAATACTCGAAGAGGATTGGCTTTCTATGCGAAACCCCCATTCTCCGTCATTCCGACGTAACGTCTCCGTTCCCTACTCAGGGAACGAGGGTTACATCCGTAACCGAGACGTTTTTCACCACATAATGTCGTACTCATAGTGAGATAAGATATATAAAACGATTGTGTTTCTTTAAGTTGATGTCAATAAAAGGGATATTTTTTATTGGTATTTCTTGAATTAATGACAGTTCAATATCTTTCCAAGCTAAAACTAAATCACTAGACCCATATTTAAAGTACTGTAACTGTATTGCTAAGAAATAGTAGTAAAAATGTGGTGCATTTTACCCTCCGAGAAATTTGGTTATTCTTTAAAGGGTTAGTTCACCCAAAAATGAAAATTAAGTCATTAATTACTCACCCCCATGCTGTACCAACCCCGTAAGACCTTCGTTCATCTTCGGAACACAAATGAAGATATTTTTGATTAAATTTGAGAGCTGGATGACTCCTCCATAGGCTTCCTAAGGGACTGGCTCTTGACGGCCCATAAAGTCATTAAAGAAAATGTTTAAATATTCCATGTGCCTACAGCGGCTCAATTATACGTTTATCAAGCGACGAGAATACTTTTTGTGCGTCCTCATCTCAGTTCTCGCGCATGCGTTCTGGAAATCTCTTCAATTCTCGTCTCAAGGCCCATAAGGAAGTAATGGAATAGTCGAATAAAGTCGTTATTTATGTTTTTTTTCGCGCAAAAAGTATTCTCGTCGCTTGATAAACGTATAATTGAGCCGCTGTAGGCACATGGAATATTTAAACATTTTCTTTAATGACTTTATGGGCCGTCAAGAGCCAGTCCCTTAGGAAGTCTATGGAGGAGTGATCCACCTCTCAGATTAAATCAAAAATATCTTTATTTGTGTTCCGAAGATGAACGAAGGTCTTACGGGGTTGGTACAGCATGGGGGTGAGTAATTAATGACTTAATTTTCATTTTTGGGTGAACTAACCCTTTAAGGTTGTCATTTAACACAATATACAGTGATTGTTTGAAAGCAACTTCATGGTGATAATAGGATTTTAAAGTAACATATTGTTTTGGCTTTACAGCAGCTTTAGAATAAAGTTATGTCCAGCTAAAGTTAGTTTTGATTGATTCACTTACATTGCACTGATCATTATTTATTAACTTAGGGGTTTCCTGCATGAAGGTGACCGCAACTCTATCATAGCTACTAACTGCCTTCATGATTGACATTTAAAATGGCAATAAGGAAGCATAGCCTGTGTAAACTGTGTTCCTCGCTCTCTCCAACCCTGTGTCTGAATCAAACCAGTGCTTTACTGGTGACTAACTGTAAACACTCTGGCTCAATCAAAACGTTTGTTCTGTTTGTTTGAGCACCCGGGCCAACCCAACAAGCAATATTAACTCAACCAATTGTGGTGTTTGAAATTTGGAAGTCTGACCGATGGAAAGCCCGTTTTAACAAACAAACCTCAATGGCCTATTATTTTTTTTTATAAAATGACAGCAACAACTTTGTAACGATTATAATCACATAAAATTATTCTCCTATATACTGTGTATCAGCTTAAAAAACACAGAATTCAACATCAGTTATTGTGTACATCACAATTACAGCTGATGTTATTAACTAATCACGAAACGTATTCATTAAAGCCTGCTCCTGTCGTGCCAACATTTTTTATTTCATTTAGCTTTTTTGTGTATAATTGAATCAATTTTCCATAAAATCTCATCCTTGGATGTGCACTGTTGTACAAGGATATGGTATACCCAACATAAAAGGTGGGGTATTTTAATGTAAATTCTATTAATCCAAAATGAATAATCATATTGAGGGAAATACCTGAAAATGATGATTTTTGTCATGCAAATGCGAGTGTGTCTTACTTTGCAGGTATTCTAGGAGGCTTCCGTTGCTCATGAGCTCTGTGATGATGTAGATGGGCTCCTCCATAGTGCAGACGGCATATAGCTGGATTAGTTTGGGGTGACGGAGTTTCTTCATCATCTGTGCTTCTCGCAGGAAGTCTTTTGGATCCATAGTTCCTATATCACATACAGAAGCCCTATAATCAAGCCATGTGCATGTATGTTTGGAGATGTATGTCTATCATATATGTGTGTGTGTGTCTGTGTACCTGGTTTGAGTGTTTTGACAGCAACAGCTGTTGTGTCGTTCCATATGCCTTCAAAGACCTCCCCAAACTGCCCCGCTCCCAACTTCCTCAGGAGTTGTAAGGATTTACGTGGGATCTCCCAATGATCCACAGTGTTATAAGACAGCCCATGAGTTTCTGGAGCTATTGTCTAGTCCACACAAACAAATGCAAGGAAATATGTATTGGATTGAATATTCATTTGAAAATTTAATTGAAATAGCTCCCTGGCGTACTATTCTAATGGGTCAGGTGCTGTATCCTGAGGTCAAATATTTTTGTTTAATTTCATCATCGTATCACATTCTTTAAACAAATAATTTTCTTCTAATTTCTAATCATGTCATTTTATTTATGTATGTATTTAGAGAAAGAACAATATTTTACTCAATTAATACCCAATGATTATGTTTTACAACCCTTACGAAAAAGAAGTTTATTCAAGTGTGCCATTAGTATACTTCTTTTAAACTAAAAATAAGAAAGTATACTTTCAGTTTATTTTTCCTGTACTTCTCAGAAATATACTTCAAATTACACTTAAGTGTACTTGACTTATACTGAGAGAAAAGCAAGAATATTTTTCCTGTTCTTGTACTCAATCTTTTGATCCAGAAATACTTAAAAGTATAATTAAGTATTCAAAGTATACTTGTATAAGTATTACAGTAAAAACGTAAACTACTAGTATACCCATAAATTCACTTGCAGTACACATGAGATACATAATTATGAACTAGTTGTGCACTTACTGTTACACTTATAGTACACTTAAACATATACTTTTATGTACTAAAAGTGGGCCAATTTAGTCCTAAGCGGTATTAAAATAGTACACTTACAAGTTTACTACTAGTACACAGTGACATAGTATACTTACTACATAATGTATACTTAAAAATATACTTGAACATTACTGAAGTATACTACATAAAATGAACTTGAAATATACTTCTTTTTCGTAAGGGAAAACTAATTATCGAAGTAGTAGAGAAGGTTACACACTTTTTTGCAGGGTTCTGCCAAACAAATACAGAGGCCATCTTCATATCTGGAGTAGTGCTCCACTAGATCTCTCAGTGTGATAAAATTACGAGTCCTTGACACATAGTAGCCACCATTATCCAACTTTCTGATCTTATAATGCTTCACTTTTCCTTTGTCCAGCACTACAAAAGAGACAGAGAGCACATCAAGAAACAGCAGCAAAGACATTGCTCAATAAAGTGAAATTAAATCATGTTTACTCAGCGCACACAACATCTCTGCTCTTACTCATGATCTCTCTCAACATGGGGACAAGAGGTGTCACTCAAATAATGGGAAAACAAAGTAATTGGTGTTACTTTTTTGGAAAAAATAATATTTCTGTGTTACTTTACTAGTTACTCGGGAAAAGTAATCTGATTACAATTACAAACCATGCAAAGATATCACAGCATTGTTGACTGACTGTGTTCAGGACAGGAGAACTGGTGGATCTTTATTGTGACTCGGGATTGCTAACATACATTCTAGTCCTGATTTTCAGCAAAATCAGGTGTGGTACAGCAAAAAAAAAAAAAAACACCAAATGGGGGAAAAGTCATATAAAATATGCAATATACAAACATAAAACAGATTGTATACATTTTATACAAACATAAAACATGTACAGTATGTACAACAAAATGTACAGTATACAAAAAAGTATGTTATACATACAATAAAAAAGGGGATGTTCACCCGTTCGGCAAGTTTGTGCTGGCACAATTAACTGTCTACAACTTTCACTCAGCAGAAGAAAATAAAGAAAAAAAGAAATAAAGATTTAACATTTATCGTGATAATTATCAATATCGCCTGAACAATTTTAACAAGAAAATATTTTTAATCATACTGCCCAGTCCTAATTTACAGTTATCTTTATAGTTAATATTATTCTTGGTGTGAATGGCCCTACAATCAATAATCATTGTCTGAGAACAAAGTGCACACTATCAAATCTAGAAAAATGAGGAATTAGGCTGTGCTCCTTGTGTAGTTGCAGATCGATCTGTGATACAAGGAGTGCCACTGAAAGATCAGGATATATTCAAGTGTTAATGAGTGGGTGAGTAATCACTAATCAATTACTTTCGGTCACGTTGGTTTATGACATTGACTGTTGTTGAGCAGAGTCTACATCTACATCAAGTTTACCTCTTATGATCTTTTGTCAATTTTGTTGAAGATTATGAGCAATTAAAAAACACGTGAACTGACGCTAAGACTCTGGAATGAGGAAACACTTGTTTATATTGTTTGTCTCTAATCAGGAAGCAGATATACCAGCCTTGGCTAAAAAACAAAACAAAAACATTTCAAATTCTTTAACTTTAGTTGTGCTTTTGATGACAGCTAAATATTTTAACCCAACATCCACATTTTATCTTTCTGGTAAGATGAGTTGAAAGTAATGATCACATCATGGTAAATGGTAAATGGACTGCATTTATATAGCGCCTTCATAGACCTAATGGCCACCAAAGCGCTTTACATTTTGCCTCACATTTACCCATTCATACACTCATTCACACACCGACGGCGGTGTCAGCCATGCAAGGCGCCAGCCAGCTCGTCGGGAGCAGCTGGGGTTAGGTGTCTTGCTCATGGACACCTCGACACTTGGTCAGGTGGAACCAAGGATTGAACCACCAACCTTTCGGTTCGTAGACAACCCACATGAACCACTGAGCCACTGCCGCACATCATGTTGATTGCTGCTGTATATATTTAATTAAATAACAAATGAAAACGAGTCGTTACATGGGCAGAGTCCCGCAGTGGCTGTATACAAAGCGCATGATGATGGAGAATCCAATGAAACACTTTATTATAAAAAAATGTAGGAGTTAACAAAAAACACAACCACTCTCCACAAAGAATACAGGACAAAGAACTAAGGAGAACTCATATACATATATACTTGTATTAGGTACAAACAAGGTAATCAATGTAGAAACAAAATAGGTGTGGGGAGCTAATTAACAACCATAGAAAAAAAAATAGAGCTGAGAAAAAAGCAAACAGGAACAAAAGTTAAACCAAAACAGAGCATATGCAATACATTTTCATTTAACACGATGTAACCATCCACAACTGAGGAGGGAGGGCGAGGGCTCTGGAGGAGGATGCAGAGCTGGCAGAGGATAAGGAGCCAGGGATGATGACAGGAGAAAAAAACAAAGTGGCAAAGATGGTGGGACGAGCCAGAATGGAGACAAGAGCAAGAGGAAATCCAGCCAGGATGACACCCCACGGTGGAGGTCTCCTCAACAAGGCCATTGGGACAACGGATGGAGACGGAGGCGGTGCAGAGGAAGCCCAGAGCGCATATGGAGAGTAGATGGACCAGAAAGACACAGCAGGCTTCAGAGGCCGCGACGGAGTAGTGGTGACGAACCCCCGAGGTGGAACCAGGGTAACGGAGGGCAGAGGTGGACCTGGAGCGACTGACGGGCGAGATGGAGCCGGAGAGGAGCCAGAGGGAGCCGTAGGGGTGGAGAGACAGAGAGCAGCGGACGTCTAATGGTGAGGCGATGTCTGACCAAGGTGGAGCCGTAAGGCCGATGGTCCCATGTGGAGCTGAGGGAGGGAGGAGCCAAGGTGGGGGAGTCTGGATGATGAGCAGGGGTGAAGTGACGGGACCAGCATCTGGAGGAGGAGCCAGGTAACGGAGGGCAGAAGTGGACCTGGAGCGACTGACGGGCGAGATGGAGCCGGAGAGGAGCCAGAGGGAGCCGTAGGGGTGGAGAGACAGAGAGCAGCGGACGTCTAATGGTGAGGCGATGTCTGACCAAGGTGGAGCCGTAAGGCCGATGGTCCCATGTGGAGCTGAGGGAGGGAGGAGCCAAGGTGGGGGAGTCTGGATGATGAGCAGGGGTGAAGTGACGGGACCAGCATCTGGAGGAGGAGCCAGGTAACGGAGGGCAGAAGTGGACCTGGAGCGACTGACGGGCGAGATGGAGCCGGAGAGGAGCCAGAGGGAGCCGTAGGGGTGGAGAGACAGAGAGCAGCGGACGTCTAATGGTGAGGCGATGTCTGACCAAGGTGGAGCCGTAAGGCCGATGGTCCCATGTGGAGCTGAGGGAGGGAGGAGCCAAGGTGGGGGAGTCTGGATGATGAGCAGGGGTGAAGTGACGGGACCAGCATCTGGAGGAGGAGCCAGGTAACGGAGGGCAGAAGTGGACCTGGAGCGACTGACGGGCGAGATGGAGCCGGAGAGGAGCCAGAGGGAGCCGTAGGGGTGGAGAGACAGAGAGCAGCGGACGTCTAATGGTGAGGCGATGTCTGACCAAGGTGGAGCCGTAAGGCCGATGGTCCCATGTGGAGCTGAGGGAGGGAGGAGCCAAGGTGGGGGAGTCTGGATGATGAGCAGGGGTGAAGTGACGGGACCAGCATCTGGAGGAGGAGCCAGGTAACGGAGGGCAGAAGTGGACCTGGAGCGACTGACGGCCGAGATGGAGCCGGAGGGAGGGAGGAACCAAAGGGAGCCGTAGGGGTGGAGAGACAGAGAGCAGCGGACGTCTAATGGCGAGGCGATGTCCGACCAAGGTGGAGCCGTAAGGCCGATGGTCCCAGGTGGAGCTGAGGGAGGGAGGAGCCAAGGTGGGGGAGTCTGGATGATGAGCAGAGGTGAAGTGACGGGACCAGCATCTGGAGGAGGAGCCAGGTAACGGAGGGCAGAGGTGGACCTGGAGCGACTGAAGGCCAAGATGGAGCCGGAGGGAGAGAGGAGCCAGAGGGAGCCGTAGGGGTGGAGAGACAGAGAGCAGCGGACGTCTAATGGCGAGGCGATGTCTGACCAAGGTGGAGCCGTAAGGCCGATGGTCCCAGGTGGAGCTGAGGGAGGGAGGAGCCAAGGTGGGGGAGTCTGGATGATGAGCAGGGGTGAAGTGACGGGACCAGCATCTGGAGGAGGAGCCAGGTAACGGAGGGCAGAAGGGGACCTGGAGCGACTGACGGCCGAGATGGAGTCGGAGGGAGAGAGGAGCCAGAGGGAGCCGTAGGGGTGGAGAGACAGAGAGCAGCGGACGTCTAATGGCGAGGCGATGTCTGACCAAGTTGGAGCCGTAAGGCCGATGGTCCCAGGTGGAGCTGAGGGAGGGAGGAGCCAAGGTGGGGGAGTCTGGATGAAGAGCAGGGGTGAAGTGACGGGACCAGCATCTGGAGGAGGAGCCTGACGATGGAGGAGCTGGATGCCACAGAGGGGTGATAGAGGGGGAAACGATGGGTTGACGGGACACGGCGGAGAGTGGGTAGAGGAACTGGCAGAAGTTTGAAGAGGAGATGGGAGAGGGAGCTGGGAAATGATCATTGGAGACGCAAGAGACTTGGAGCTGAGCAGGCCCCAGAATAGATGCAGCAGAACTGGGACTGAACAGGACCAGTGGGAAAAGGAGAGGCAGGGTAACATCACAACAAATCATGAAATAATTCAGAGGCCAGTGGCAGCTCATGGCGGGAGGGTGGGCGGGGGATGGAGTGTATAAATTAAATATAATTCATCTTTGTTAAAGCTACAAAAGTGATTTTCTCTTTGTATTTTGTTGTTTGATTAACATTAATGACTCAGATAGCAGCAGGAATATTAGGCTGCAGTCACTTTAAGCCCGAATGCACAGATCCAATATGATACGCATTACGTTCACGTAAGCCATGGCCGACTGTTTATAATGACACTCGCTGAGGAGGGCATTTCAAGATAATTTTGTGTGTATGTGTCCATTCAAACACAATTAGACAAGAATTCGGTCCAGAATTGAGTTCCCTTTTGCATCTTTGTGTGCTCAAACGGTTTAAAATTGCTTGACAGGGCCTAAAACAATAAACTTTAACTCTATGATTAAGCACGTGCATTTCAAACCGTGGTGCCTAGTCTGTACAGATCACAGTTCAACTATGTTCTCTATAGACGAATCCGGCGAAACTACCGGAAGTAAGCGGGGCGCCATTACTGAGCTGTTGCTGGGTAGCGTTGCGCCATTGCCTCCTATTGTTTTAGTTGCAACTTGCGTCCACTGGAATAAACAGCCCGCGATTTACGACTGTCACTAACGTTACAACGTTACCCCTTGTATAATGTCGAGTGGGTAAACAGTTTCCGTTATAAATTGTTTCAATGGTGGCAGTAAAATTTAAATTTTGAAGAGAAAACATTGTGAATACCCCGGGTCGACTGCCCCTGTCTGGTGCCGTACGGTTTACAGATTTCCTGGGCGAGTACAAGACGTGGACATTCGCGTATAATAACAATTATTTAATGACATGAGTAAAAAAAATAATAATAAATATGTGATATAGTGATCAGCAAAATCTCCTCTCTTGCTGTTTTTTCTATTCAATTAACATGCTATGATCATTAAATGGCTTTCCTGAGCTAAATGTAACGTTATGTGACATAATTGTTTTCCTGCTGTTATATTGACCTCTTCCCATGGTTTAAAAACACTAATTGGTCGATATTATGTATACTTTCTAGCTGTAACGTTACCTTACCCTTGCCTGTTGCAATGTGAAAATGAGATAAATAATGGACATAAATGAAAAACATGAATTTGTTTATTTGATTTCATTCATTTATTTATTTATTGTTGCCAAATGGACAGATCTTTTTATAGTTTCCTCGTTAGCAAACGTTAGCCTAGCTAGCTTGCCAAGCTATTTTCATAAATAACGTTAATCTGTAAGATCGTTTGTACCTTCATCTGTGACTGGAGGCCACTGCAGTCAGAGATCAAACCAACAAGTCATTCTGCCTGGCTGTAGCTGTCATCGAGGGTGAGTTCGCGTTATCACCGAGGTTTGTTTACATACCGGTGCATATGTCTATATGCCTGTATAACAGCTCAGTAATGGGTCGCCACAAGATGGCAGCCTACACAGAACGCTCGTCAGATTCGTCTATACTTAACATTTTCATAACTTCGGCTAACGTTCTGGCAAGGTTCTCTCAAAGTTATGCAGGGTTCTCAAGTCTCACGCATTGGCCGTGAGACACAAACAATTAGCCTTTCGCCGAGTCCCGCCCCCTGTTTCTACCTATATTAAACTAATGGTAAAACACGAGAAGCGCAACAGATTGCCATGACCTTTTTTCAGTGACCTTTTTTGGAGCAATACCTCTGCGATATCATCCAGATCGAGGCAAAAGAGTTTACAGTACGCGGTGGAGGGAAACATTCAAAATATAAAAATAAGAAATGAATGAGACACGACTACTATTGAGGCTAATGCTTACCAGTCTCAAGCAAAATCAGAAAAAAACCCATGACCATGCTACCTCAAATGCAACCAGAACAGCCTTGAAGATTTTATCAACTGGTTCAATGGCTAATTGTTTGGTGTTAGAAATATATAACTTGCACTGGCTGCATATTTAGTAATTTTGCCTCCGATACAGGAGTACACATTCGCTTTAACAAGCAGGTTGTATATTACCATAACAACCACTTGCGTGTCAGGCTGAATGCGATTTTCGCGTTTAAAGGACAACTCCGGCGCAAAATGAACCTTTAGTCTAATTACACATTGTCACCTAGTCAACCGTTATCTGAGATTTGTTTTCATGATTGCCGAATGTAAATAGTTTTATCTCTAAAAACAGTTTAGCCTATAACGCTAGTATAACGCTATATAGGGCATAGAGTAATGACAAATAAAAATCGCTTGTTATTACCACTAAAAAGGCTCAAAATAGCCCCACACTAACACGACAGCATAACAAGGGTCCCTACATTCAAACCGAAGCATTGAGAACTTTGTCAGTGTCCATACAGTTTAAAAAGAAGATATTTTATACACACAGTCAACTTCGCGAACACAGGAAGAAGCCATCTTGGAAAAATAGTCTCTACCAGTCGATCTACGAACGCCGATCCAAGTGCGCTGGTGAGATGTGAATAAGGTGATAAGGTGAGCGCGAACAGTAGGCTACGTGTACATATTGAAGAGAAGTAAACGGTTTGTGTTTGTGTTTCTTCTGGAAACAACGGACCATATGAGATTCTGCACAGTTCAGCGCACTTGGATCGGCGTTCGTAGATCGACTGGTAGAGACTTTTTTTCAAAGATGGCTTCTTCCTGTATTCGCGAAGTTGACTGTGTGTATAAAATATCTTCTTATTAAACTGTATGGACACTGACAAAGTTCTCAATGCTTCGGTTTGAATGTAGGGACCCTTATTATGCTACCGTGTTAGTGTGGGGCTATTTTGAGCCTTGTTAGTGGTAATAACAAGCGATTTTTATTTGTCATTACTCTATGCCCTATATACTAGCATTATACTAGCGTTATAGGCTAAACTGTTTTTAGAGATAAAACTATTTACATTCGGCAATCATGAAAACAAATCTCAGATAACGGTTGACTAGGTAACAATGTGTAATTAGACCAAAGGTTCATTTTGCGCCGGAGTTGTCCTTTAAAAAGTAACTAACGTTATGCATAAGAGACGGAAAGAGGCAGAGAACCATACATTATTTAAGGTTATTTCTATTGGTTACGATATTGATATATGAACTGATGTTGTCAAGTAAGCTTCATGCTTCCCCATTGCGACCGTGCACTCCTCTAAACTGTAGTCTACGGTGCTGCACTGCTAACTTAGCTGACTGCTAACTTTGGAAAGGGAAAGAGAAAAAACACAACTTCTCCAGACAATCTCTCGGGGTATCTTTCTTGTGTCCGATTTACAAAAGCCATAGCCACACTGCTTCACCATCTTTCTTGGAGTCAATGTTTGACGGAGCAGCTCACATAGTAACGGTTGCTATGATGTGTGATTGGACAATGGCCGTTTTTGGGGAGGGACCGGCGAAAGATCAATTCAAACAGTTCACACGCTCACACGCCACACCGTGTATTTCTCACGCTGAAAAGGCAACGCCAACCAAGTTGTCCTGCAAGCTTTATATATAACGTTGTATACGAGGCATAGGCACACAAAGTGAAGTTTCCTGCCGCCAGCACGTATCTCTTGGACAGATTGCGTTAGGCAGCATAATTCATATGTTAGGCGTTAGACGAACACACGGAAGTTGACGTAACATTCTCACCCACCGTATTATTTGTTACTAGGTAACCAACAACATCGCGCGAACACATGTCGTGATGGAGAAGGTAAGAAAGCTCACAAGTCTAACATTTTTAGGCTTGAACATTTAATATACAGCCCATCGTATACATTATCATTGTGTGTACATCATCAAACTCTACAACTACTTTGCAACCAGGCCAGAAGCTTTGCCTCAGTTTGGCTAGCTTAGGCTACATTATCTGAAACTATAAGGGAAATGTTCATGGGTATGCTGGTTAATTATGAACAATGGCTAAAATTGGGGGATGGGGGTTGGGATGGGTGAGGGCGGGGCTCCATTGGGGCTCCTCCCCCAAACGCATGTGATCTCATACCAAGCTTTTGATAAAACTTGAGAACCCTGGTTATGAGCAAACGTTCTTCCAGTAACATTACTAGAACATTTGTTCAATTTTATCTGGTCATCAAATAACGTTATCAAAAGGTTAGCATAGAAACTTTGCATTGTTTCTAGAAGGTTTTTTAAGCGTCCTCATAATGTTAGGAGAAAACGTTTTTAGAAAAACATTCTACCATGAAATCAAAGAATTGAGAGAGTGTACATTTTGAATGCGTTTATCTTCTGAATGCGAATTGGCACTTGCACACTAGCTTATTGATAACACCCAAACGAAAAGCCAAACAACTTCAATTTTGATTTCATGGTGAAAAGCAAACTAGGCATTTTTATGATCTTCGAATGTTAAAGATTTGTATTTTCCTGGAATGTTATAAATCAACATTCATACAAAGTTGAAAGAATGTTTCAGGAACATCATACTATTACTAACCTTAAAAAAATAAATTCCACTAAAACAGGTCATTGATTCAATACTGAATGTTGAATCCGTGAACCACATTATTAGACAGTTTTCAAAGACTACAGCTCAGTTAACAAACTCCATCTCAGCCAAAACATCACTTTGACAAAACATCTTAATTGGGAGCAATAGTTCTTTTTTTTTTAGAGATTTTTTTTATTATTATTTAACGTTTATAACATTTATGGTTTCACAGCTGCACATGTGAAAATAATTAGGGGATTGAAAAGAGGTTAATGTACCTGAGAGTGAGAGTTCTCCCGCCTGGCTTTCACAGTTTCTTATTAGAAAAGCTCCATTGCTGTTTTCTGGAGACATCAACATCTTCTCGGCATCCAAGCGCTTGGTTTCTGGAAAATACCATCTGTGGTGGAAGAGCAGCACAACATTATTAGAGGTTGATATCACACAATATTAGAGGTCACACAATAAAATGTACTTTCCCGTTTTGCTTTGGTGTACTGAAATCTTTGTACTGAAAACTTATGTGTTATGGCTAACACAATATTTAGCAATGCAATATTTAGCCCAGTGTTTGTTTCATATTTTTGACTGGTAATTCACACTTCTGCTGTTGTTTATGAGTTTACAAGGTTGTTACTTTCTTAGCAAACTGCTAGGCCTGTTAGCGTACCCGTTCCTGATAATGTAAATACATTTCAATGTTTGATTTTAAGGATGATTTCATTTACTTCCGTACGATTTATTAATGTGTTGGTTGTCACTTCATATCCAGTGTAAGCCAGCCCTGTTCACACATGTGCCTGTACCATGATGGTAGTTGAACAAACTCAGGGTTACAGGATTAGTTTCGAGTTGACGAAACCAAACCAAACCAATCCAACCTGACTTTGCTGGTACCATCATCAACTTTCTCTGTCAACTCAGGCTTTGATCCTGAGTTTAGTAGTTTAGGTGTGACATCAGCAGTGAACAGCCAATCACATGCTGAGAACGAGTGAAACTGCGATTCATTTCTCTATCCTGCAGAATATTACGAGATTGAAAGATATTAAGAATTTAAACAAATTTACACAGCAAGAAGAAAATAGCAATGAAAGAGGACAACTAACAAGTTTATACAGTTGATAAAGGTAAAGAGAGAATTGAACATTTAAGCTCACTTTATGGCTAAGCTTTATCTATTGATCCTAAAGTGTATTTATATGACCTTTATAAATTTAGTCATTTAAACTGTGTGTAATATTAAATGATAAACTAAAACTGTACATGTATGATCGATTAAGAGTATAAAAATTACATAAATAATATCTAAATCATACAAAATTACCATTGTAAATAAGCATTACTAAAAGTCAGACGATTGTCTTTAAAAATCATTTGCGACCTTTAATTTAAAGTAGAAACAGGTGGAGTGACTTTATCCTTTGCTCACAGCTGATTGGTCCAAATTCCAGAACCTCTTACCGGAACTGAAACCCAAGGTTGGCGCAAACTAAACTGAAACATACCTGGCTAGCCACTAAAACCGGCTTCAAGGTACAGGCCCCTGGGACTCATTTTAGTAACTACAATTACTGGGTAATAACTAGTACTAACCCTGAACCTATCCCTAAACCTACACCTGTTCCATGTACTTACCTTATCTTAGCCAGTACTTTCTAGGTAAGTACACTGTAAGTACTGTTACTGTAAAAGGAAGCGGTACCCAGGATTGCATGCGTAGTGTACATGCTCATGTGGTCGAATGTGTTCAAACAGCCACAAAAGACCGTCTACTCTCCGTTCACTAAACTAATGCATAAACATTATGGGAGGCGAGTGCTAGCCAGACGGGATTTAAACTCTGTCGCCTGAGGAACCAAGTTTGGTTTGAAGATGAAAAACGTACCAAACACAATGTTCTCTCTCCATTCCACTCTCAACCTATTCTGGTCTAGATAACAATTGGGCAAGTTCAAACAAAGATTATGAACTTTTTATTATTTCATAAACTAACCTTTGGTTTCCTCAGTGTTTATGGTTGTTGACACACATTGCAGAGACCTTGTGTCCAGCAGGTTCTAGTAATGTTTGAATCTTCAACAGACTAAACATTTGCTGACACATGATGCTGTAATGCACCAGCGGGACAATGAACTGTAATGAAGTCTTGTCAACAGACTACATCTGACTGAAAGTAAGTCAAATAGCTACAAAACAAATGTGCACATTACGTAGTTGGTGGCAGAGCTGGAAAAACTGGAAAGTACATACATACGTCATACATACGAAACTATTCAGTGTGCCAAAGTGACAAAGCATACTAGCCTTAAGTGAGAGATAACATCACACACAACAAATGTTGATCATTATCAGAATTACTAATACTGACAGAGAAAGAACCTCCTTCAATAACGCAATTACAAGTCTAGCATAATACAATAAAATACAAAATCTTAAACAATTTATTTCAATTGACTTATTATTGGATTGTGATTTTTTTTGCTATCAGTTTATGGCACTTATAGTGCACAGAGCTTAGGAATCATTAACAGGCTCAATGCTTCCTGGTTATCCACTGAACATTAACCAGCTTCCCTTAAAGATAAAACAGACAACAGAAATAGAATCTGCCGGCAGGGATCCTCATACTATTCCTCTTGCTGAATGCATATTTAAGAAGAATTACTCTTAGGACGTCCAGGGTATCTATGCATGCATTACAAATACAATACACTCTTATACAATACAAAAGCACTTCTCAAACCTGTCCCCACTATTGCACATTTTGGATGCCCCCCTTATCAGACACACCCAATTCAAGTCTTGCAATCTGATCTAATGCACTGATGAGTTGAATCAGGAGTGTTAGATGAAGGACACTTTCAAAATGTGCAGTGGTGAGGGTCCCTCCTTTATACAGGACAATGAGGACAGGTTTCAGAAGCACTGCATTATAATACCAGACCAGTTAAACAATTAGGCAACTTCATTCAGTGCCAGTTGTTTGTACTGTCTGCTGGTATGAATTCAAGAGAGATGACTAATTCTGTTTGGAGGTTTTCAGGAAGGCCATTGATGGTAAATAGCCTATGATTGTCATGCTCATGTCATGTGTTTTGAGAAAGACAGGAGATCATTTCTGACTAGGGGTGTACATATATATTGTGTCACAATATATGACAATAGAAAAATGCATCAACATATTGCGGATAGTTAACCCAAAATGAAAATTTCTGTGAGAGTTTTAGTGTCTACATTAAATTACTATATATTTATTTAATATAATGTATTATAATGCAATGGTGGAATAATATTTGTGGGTCCTGATAATGTCAAAAGTCCTGTTACCAGTAAAAAGTGTCCATTATCTAGTCAGTGACGGAGTGCAAGCACATTCGTCTAAAATAATTCTGTATTTTGTTATATTGTGGTGTCTCTATTGTGCTGTGCTTTGGGTATAAGCCAATTCACACCCACAATGTAATACACATTTTTGCATTTTAATCAACAGTACATTTTTGTTAACATTTTACCATATGTCTTGGAGTTTCCCAATAATATCGTATCGTGAGTATCATATCACGTATATGGCACGATACAGGATATGATACATGTATCAAATCGTGACAACAAGTATCGTTACGCACCCCTATTTCTTCTGACCATAACTCATTCAGGGAAATCCTTCCTAACAAAACCACAATGTGATCCCCTGTGTATCCAAACTAATCTTATAGAAGCTACTTCTATATTAAATCCAATTACAGATTTTTATTAAGACTGACACAGTTCCACAGAAACTTACGGTTCAGCGTCGAGGCTTTCTACGGGTGCCACATAGTTAGCAGGAATGTATCCCTCTTTATTTGCCGAAATCCCGGTGATTCCTCTCGCCAACCACCAGTCATCGCTGCTTTTAGTGAGAGGCTCCAGTTTATCCCCCGCGTTAAAGCTCAGGTCAGCATCCGTGCGCGCCGTGTAGTCGTACAGCGCGACGTAAACGTAGCCGGGTTTCTCCACAGGTGTCGGCGGTAACTCCCGGCTAGGCGCCTTCGCAAACTCATTCTTTATCACTTCAATAGTCGGTTTCACGGTGGCAGGTGAGGTGTCATCCGCAGGGTCTCTGAAACACGAGGAAATGCTCCGACAGCACAATAAAACCCTTTCTCTTATGTCTCCCATCGTGAAATTGTTCGTCAGTCCTGTATGTGTAGCCTATAGTTCAAGTTAAATGAAAGCAGTAAATAAATCCCATTTCAGTGATCCATATAGGGTCAGTTTCGTTCTAGTGAATGTTGAGTGGGCTTGAGACGAAGCGTTTCGTCCATTCTGTGAGCTTGAGAAAACCCTTTGACCGGTGATACGAGATGGCACAGCCCTGTCGACAGGGAAGAAGGTGATTTATTGCCTGCGGTCAAAAAAAATCTGTTTGCATTTCCTGGTATTCCTCAAATGCCGTCCAAGGTTTTTCTCCGATCCGCGATCCTGCCGAGGAAGATACAGAGACTTATTGTTTATCCTACCTTTAACTTAAAACTTGATATTTTTTATGTTAGAGTTAGTAACACACATAGTCGTCCTTAGGATTCTGAGACAGGTTGTTCCTTCAAAACGCCCGCAGGACAGAGTCTCCAAATGCAATTACGCAACGTAGCCTACAGTGTACAGTTTACAAGCTAAATGAAAACCAGACAACATTTCTAAATTAAATCAAATGTCGTTAAATGACATCAACTTAATTCTAAAAAGCAATTTGTATGCAGTTTGCATGTCTTTGTTATTTAGAAACTCCTGATTTGTTTGACTATTAATAGCCAATTCCAGCAAAGCAAAATAATATTAGCCTAATTAATAATAGGCTAATAATCTTGGTTCTTTATAAGAAAATAAGGGACACTCGAAATATTTGGACTGTAGCCAACCACAGAGTCCATTGTCTGCATTTGAGGAAAAAAGTCATTTTGTTTACCTTAATTTTACCTGAAAACACATTTTTTCACCTTTACGTGAAAACACGTTTGTTTCGCACAAAAAATATTAATGTTACACCAAATTGTCACTATAGAATGGACTTCACAATTATAACAGATTCTGCTCTTTTAAGTCTTCTTTTTTAACAAACTCTGCTGTAATGAAAAGGCTTTAATATGCTCAACTCATATTTTATAAACACAGCAACTAATGAAATGGTACTGTATGGTTTTTTTTTTCTCCTTTCTTTCTTATACAGTAGCTATGTAGTGAACAATATTTATGAACAAAAGGGGAAAAAAAACTAATTTCTTTTTTTTTTTTTACTAATTTTATGAACAAAAGGGCAAAAAAAATTAAGTTCTAATTTTTTACTAATTTCTTCCCTGTGTCATAAAATACAGTTTTGTGCAGTGCCCCTGCAAAATCAGTTTTTGTGTGCGTTTTTAGTAATTGTTGGTTTGGTGTGTTTGAGTGCTCCCTTAATTGTCACAAAACACAGCAAAAGTTCAGTGACATTTTTATTTGTGCATGGTTGAAAGCAAATACTGATACTGACATAATGACATACAATAAATATGGAAAAATCGAACTACATGGTTGCAAAATGTTACGATCTCTTCTGAGTCGCAACAAAGTAAGGGAGTCACCACACGCAGGCTGTCATAATTCATGAGTTTATTTATCCATGAAAGACAGAACAACATTAATGATCAGTATAAATGATAATCAGGGTGTCAGCAGATGCGTAGGTGTACTTATGAACAACAGCAGTCCAGCCCATCTCAGTCCATGAAACGTTCAGCGACAACAGATATCCCACATGAGGTGGCTCAAGCGACGGTGGTGATCTCCCATACTCCAAACCTCTCAACGAGTCCTCATCCTCGTGACATGAACCCCAAAGTACCCCCAAGCAAACAAAAAGAGCACAAGCTCAACCGACTCTCCTGCTCTCATCTCAGTCCCAGTCTTTTATTGAGCAGCATGATGACCTTCAGGTGTATGACCACGCCCTTCAGCCAAATCACCTGTAACTCAGAAATGACGAGTTACTCACTGAAACCGTCACAAAAACAATTTATAATGGTGAAATTAGGTTACATGTTGTAGGCTATTTGGGTATCTATGTGTGCACGGGATAAATCCCCGAGCAACACTGACACACACCGAACACAAGGCGGAGCTCCATCCTCGTCCTGACGAGACGCCGGTGGGTTTTATCAGTTTTGATTTTTTTTTCTTCACTTCTTCAAGCTCCATGTTGCACTGAAGATAGCTAGCCTACACAATACAGCGTGCGAGTGAAAGAGATGCTGCGCGTGACACGTGACGTGCTTCATCAACGGCCCGGCAGAGAATCTAAGCTCTAGTTTGACTATCCCGTGAGTTTCTTTTCTCGAAAGTTTAACACCTATCAGAAAAATTACTCTGTAATCGAGCAAGAGGCTTTATCCTTAATTTGGGCACTTCAGTTTTTTTATGTGTATGTGGAGGGAGGAATGCCGGTGGAGGTGTTTTCTGATCATAATCCGTTAACATTCTTGCATTCTTTGCAGTCCCCGAGTCAGCCTTTAATGCGTTGGATACTCTTTTTACAACCCTACAATTTGGTTGTTAGACATATTAAAGGATCAGATAACGTAGTGGCAGATGCGTTATCTTGTGTTCCTGATCTGATCAACTAAGTGCAATAGTTATATGGTTGTTTCTGTTTTTCTGTGCTCTCTTGTCATCTTAATTTGCTTTCAGGATCCAGATTGCTGATGGCAAAGTGGGGCTGAAGGGTGAATGGAAATAATTGTGGTAATCATGTGATCAGAAGTGGTTATAACAATGTGCCTAGAAATATGATTAATAAATTTATGGGTTGGGTTTGTTTTGTTTCTTTCTTGGTAGATGGAGAAGGAAACTGCTGAATGGCAAGAACTTTGGCCTGAAGTGGACGCACTTTACCTTGGCCTACCTCTTTCCCCAAATATCTTACAGTCGCCTTGGCAAACTCACACTTGGCCAAGTTAACTGTTAGACATGCCTCAATCAAACGAGTTAAAAGAGCTCACAAACGGACCAACTGTTCCTCCCAAGTCTCACTGAAAACAATAACATATTGTAAATACACCGCACACCCTTCCAACCCAGCAACCACTCGGTTCATCAATCTCTGGAAGGTGGCAGGTGCATTTTGTAAACCAAAACTCATAACGGAGTACGAATATAATCCAGATGATGTAATAAAAGAGGTTACCTCCCTAGCTCTAGGAGTTAACGGCACTT